TGCGCCACCAGGGAAGCCCTGCAGTTCCATTTTCATGATGAAAGACACACACGTGGATCATAGCACCCTGGAAAATTGGGGAAGCGATGCTGGATTCTGCACCAAGCTGGTCCAGTCTGCATGGGAGAATCTTGTCAGCTGGACTTATCTATTTCCAGAAGATGTTGAAGAAGGGATTATTTTTTAAAATTCTCCTCTATTATTGATATAATACATATCAGTTTTAAGAAATTTGAAAAATACAGAAAAACCTATAAAGAAAAGTATTCTTTTAATCTCACTGCCCAGAGGTAACACTGTTTACATGTCAGTGCCTTTCCTTTGGGTCTTGAATCTTTGATTAGAAGAATCCGTCAAGGGGCTTGTCTGTTTTGGGGTCTGTCTGTGACCTTGTCTTTCACTGTCTCTTTCTTCCTGTGATGTGTGGGGTATGTATATGCGTCTGTCTGTTTCGTCTCTGTCTCACAGTCACACCCCGAAATCCCATTGGAGACACTGCTCAATTCTGATGGGAAGCCTCTTTGATTTGGTCTGGCTTTGGTGCCTTTCTGCTAAGTTTGGGGCTCGAGATCCCTACTCTTGGGGATTTAGACACGAGTAAAGGATTGCTCTCCTTGGACCTTTGCTCCATCCCTCCCAATCAATAATTAATCAGTTCTGAGTTGATCTTATTAGCTATTCACTGCCCGCACCCCCAACCCCAACCCAAGCTGGCTAATGACACTGCTTTTAATTAATATGAGGCAGATTAAAACTCATTACAACAAGGTTATTGGTAATGAGATAATCATAAGGCAAGTTATTGAGCTGGGAGTGAAAACAAAGTTGGAGGAGGGGCAGAGAGACACTGCCAGCCGTTCCTGCCGTGTTTTGGCAGGAACAGAAGGGGGAGTGTGGGGACTCTGCAGTGAGGACACGCGGCAGTGACATACCCAACTAGCTCGTGAAACCAGGTGCTGGGTAAGGGCAGGACTCATGTCCAGTGAGCAAATGGGTGGGGAGTGTTAGGGCAGTAACATGTGTTGAGAAGCAAGAGCTGGTGTATTGAATTAAGAATATGTAGTTTATGACCTGATGAATGAGGAGTGCAAGCCTCCTACATGGGGTTGGCTGGTAGCTCCCTCGGCATCCAAGCTTCCACTGGGGAAGTGAAACACAGTGGGTTGTTTTGATTGAAGGTACAGTTTAAATACACCCGCACAGAGGAAGTAGAGTCACAAGATTTATTATTACTTACAGATCCCAGAAGCAAGGATGCTCAGTGAGCTGGGGGAAGGGCAGTCCTCCATCCCAGGTACCAGCAAGCAGGAGGTGAATGCTGAAAGAGGGAGTTTGCACTAAGCGAGTAATTTCTTGAAGTTCTGAGTGGGACCTGCCTTCTGATCCCAAAGGATGGTGGAGCTGTAGGAGCTGGAGCTAGAAAGGGACGCCGGAGACCAGAGTGCCTGCTCTGTTATTCAGCATGTGTGTCTTTTGGCTTTAAAAGAGCATTTACACTTTTTGGTTAGTGGCAATGTCCCTCACCCCCATGTGACTCTGTGTGTGTGTGTATTTAATTAGAAGCTGGTTGAAGGTGACTTTGGGGCTTCTTTTGTTGAAATGTGCCATTTGCAGTAGATGCTGATTCAGCTTCATGGATGATGGTTTTGTGAGTGTATGACCCAAGGTTGTCATCAGTCTACATTTATAGCTCATGCATGGCTTGCCCTGGGGTACACAGAGTCTACAGGGGGCACAACACATGCTCTGTCCCCAATGGCTGATGTGCCAAGTAACCAGTGAGTCAGCAGTAGACCAGCCTTCCTGGGCTTGTGTGACCAGAGAGGGCTCTCTGCATTGCCCAGACAGTGTCCTGAAGGTGACCATCACTTTGTGCCAAGAGACGCCCTACCCAGGACTGGCTCAGGCCACAGGTGAGGGGCAACAGAGCCCTGGCTCTGCTCCTTGGTAGGAGGGCTTGTTAGGGTGAGGCTAATGCTTTCTGAGGGCTGCCAGCAGCAGAGATAAACGCAGATGTGAATCCAGTCTAAAGAAAATGGTGGAGCTGGTCTTCAGCATCACACACACACACACACACACACACACACACACACACACACACAGATGCATGTTGTTATGTTGTTCTCTCGATCTGAAATGCCCTCCTTTTTTATTCTAATCTTTTCAGGTTCAATTTCAGGGGCTAATCCTATGTATCAGCCAGGGACTAGTCATACCTGTAATTTAAATATAAAGACTTATTCACTAGGAAAAGGTAGTTAACTCCTAAAAGGAGTAAAAGAAGATTCTAAAGGTGCAGAAGTAGTAAATGCATAAAGCACCTGCTCCCTCTAGGGCTGAGGGGGTGGTGAACAAGAACAGAGCTAAAGACTCAGCTGGGGGCCTCCCACCTGCAAGGCTGGGATGCTGGGCTGCCCTGGTGATGAGACGTGATGGCGGGCATGGTTATGGGGACAGCCTGCCAGGTGGCAGAGAAATTTGTAGGAGGGTGCGACCTGGAGCTAGTGTGTAGGAGCCGCCTGCTGGGTGGTCAGAACACTTGCTGGAAGATATGGGGCCTGAGTTGGTCCACAGGAGGGGCCCATCAGGTAGTGGAGAAATTTACAGAGGGTGGGCTGGTCCATGAGGGCCACCAAAGTGGTCACCCCCAAGCCACTACCCATTGGCTGATGAGCTGAAAACAGTGCACGGGGACAATAAGGGCGCCTCCTTGTGCTGTGGCCTTGCAGTGTTCCCCAGAGCCCCCTGTTGACAAAGCCAAATAGTGACCCATCTGACAAAGGAGAAATGGCACAGGGTCTAGCACCAGTATCACAGTGCACAGCAAAGAAGCATGGATTTGCAGCTGAGAGGCCCTGTGTTCCTGAGCTGCACGTACCCGCTTCTCCCCAGGAGCCAAGCCTCTCTAATTCCAGCCCTCTTGTTTCTCCCATCTGTGAGCTCTGTGGTCCTCAGTGTGATCCTACTGCCACGTGTCATTCTCTGTGTGTGAGTGGCTCTGTCACATCTCCCCACGAGGTGGAGGGCGTGGGACTCAGTCAGCCCCCAGTGAATACACAGTGGTTGATGTCTTTCCTGGGAGGGGCAGAGACAATGGGGTGTGTCCTCACTCCGCCTTCCAGTCCTCTGCCTTGACCCTGCAGTGGCTTTGGTGTGAGGGCTGAGCTTGCCTCCTTGGGGGAGTGGGCAGCTGGGTGCCAGGGCAGCCTCACCGGGAGCCTCTGGTGGGACCTGGCTTCCGGTCACACTGTACCTTAGGACAAATGGATTGTGGATGACTTGCTGGCTGCCTCTTATTCGGCAGGGTGGGAATTGGGGTTGATTATTTGAGCTGTAAAGAGTCATTTGTTCATAACAGCCTGGACTCATAGAGGGTGGGGAAATGCCCAGTTCCATATTTGACCATGTTTGCCTTCTTTCTCACGTCCTCAGAACGTGAGTGTGGCCTTGGACAGTAGTGACCTTCTACCATCTGACACCGGCCAGCTCAATTCCCAGTCCACCCCCCCTGCTGCCCCCATGGGCCTTTTACTCATCTAGGGAAATGTGTTCTCTCCCCACACCCGCCCCGCCTTAATTCTTAGAGTCAATTCCCTTCTCTCTGCACCCTCCTGTCAGGGAAAAAAGACTCTTCTTGGCCTAATTTGGACCAGGCGCCCGCACTCCGTTCAGGGGCGTAGAGTCATGTGGACATAGGCTTCCCCAGTAGTGGGTTGGTGCGGGATGCAGAGGTGTCCAGCAGAGCCCTTGAGGGCCTAAGGACAGCTTGCAAGTGCCTGGAGTGTGGGGCATCCCTCTGCTCTAGAGGGAGTGGATAGATGGCTCCCTGGCTGCTGGGACCAGGGTGTTCAGGGCTGCAGTGTTCTCTTCTTAATTCCTAAGGTAACGGTTTTCTGTATGGTTCACTCAGCAACTAATTATGTAGGATCTTTGAACGTTTCTTCCATCTTTGTTGCCAGCGGTTATTTATCTCTTCATGTGGTTTATTGCCTCCAATACACACTTAATTGTGTCAGCATCCTTCATAGCACTTAAGAGAGTGTAAGTCCATCCTAGATATTCACTCTCCCGGTTGACTTATGGGTGGAAGAGGGTACCAGGTTCCCACAGGGCACTGGGCTCCCTTGTCTTTTGTGTGTACCCATGGCTTCATCCTGCTTCAGGAACTGTAGATCCAAGAAGCCAGGACCCTCGAAATGCCAAGACCCTCAGCTGAGCTGGGGTGGTGACTGGGGATGTGTAGCCTGGGGGTGGATGGAGGCCACCTCCCACTCTGGAAGGATAGGTGGGCATCAGGCTGCAAGTTAAGGCCGGTTTTCCTGCCCAGCCTGCCCTGCTGCCTACCCCATGTGCCTGATGCTCCCTGTAAAGTTCTCCTTCAGTTAACAGGAGACCCCTGCTAAAGTTTGCTGCGTTAAAGCGCTCTAGGTTTGAAGTGATTTCTAGACCTTCCTTTGACATTTGTTAGCTATTTCTTGATAAGCAAAACATCTGAGTTTCTTATCCTTAAAGATACCAATACTTGCCTCCCTAAATTGTTGTAAGGATTAAAAAAATAATGAATATGACCATGTTTAACAATTGTAGACCTCCAAACAAACAGATAGTATTATTAGTATGACTGAGGGGTGGGTGACAAATGCGTGAACTCAGTGTATCCTTGAATGAATCATAAGTGTAGATTAGAATTGGTTGAAAGTCTTGGACAAACGCTAGTTTCTGAGGGAGTGGGACTTGGACCAGGTAAGTTTTGAAGGAAAGGTGATCAGAAGCATCGGGCCATGTCAGGAGGCTGGCTGCAGTTTGAGATTGGAACTGACTGCTCTGGGTACCGGGAGACTGAAGGTGAATGACGGTGTGTGTGTGTGTGGGGGTGGTGGGGGTGGTGGTGGGGGTGGGGGTGGTGGTGAATCAGGGTTGCTAAGCAGAGGGGGCAGGAGAAGAGCATGCAGCTGACAGTGAGCTTTCACATCTCCCTGGCCCCGCCTGTCTTCCTGCAGGTGCACCTTCGCTCTGCCAGGCGCCTTTGCGAGCTCTGCTGTGCCAACCGGGGCACGTTCATCAAGGTGGGCCAGCACCTGGGGGCTCTGGACTACCTGCTGCCGGAGGAGTACACCAGCACGCTGAAGGTGCTACACAGCCAGGCCCCACAGAGCAGCATGCAGGAGGTCCGCCAGGTCATCCGAGAGGACCTGGGCAAAGAGGTACCCACCTCTGCCGGGGGGATGGGCTTCTGAAAAGGCCCCGGCAGAGTTCTCGCTGCTTGGCCCCAGGCCCTGGGGCTCCACCAGTGGCGTGGAACTACGCTTCGCAGAAACTTTCAGTGTGAAAGCGGAGAGGTTAGAAGGAGCCTGAGTGGCCCTCAGTATAAAATATTAGTTGGGCCATACGAAATCATTGATATTTGATTGCTTTTGACCTGTAACTTAATATGATTTATATGGTTGAATTTAATAATACCTATCAGGCTTCCCTGGTGGCGCAGTGGTTGAGAGTCCACCTGCCAATGCAGGGGACACGGGTTCGTGTCCCGGTCCGGGAGGATCCCACATGCCCCGGAGCGGCTGCGTCCGTGAGCCATGGCCACTGAGCCTGCGCGTCCGGAGCCTGTGCTCTGTAACGGGAGAGGCCATAGCAGTGAGAGGCCCGCATACTGCAAATAAATAAATAAATAAATAAATAAATAATACCTATCAATTATTGAGGGTTTACTGCGCACTCACACCTGCGCTGTTTCCCACATGTTATCTCACTTAGTCCTCAGGGCAAACCTATGAGGTAGGTACCATCATTAACCCCATTTTGCAGATGAGGGATGGAGACTTAGAGTGATCAGGTAGAGCATCCAAGGGAACTGTTAGTAAGTGATTCCAGTGCGCTGCTCTATCAGTGAGCTGTCCTAATCATTCAGTGCGATGACTTTTCCAGAACGTCTGTGGGCCACTGCTTGATTACCTCCAGTGATAGGAAGCTTATTCTCTTACCTGCTGCCTAAGGTGGTCCATTCTATAATCACTCATCTCTAATTGTTACACATGCTTCCTCCTAAGGGCTAGGCCTGCCTCCTCAAACTTTCCTGATCTTCATCCACCCCGTGGAGCAAAAGAGAAAGGGGCTGAGGGCCCTTCCATACACAGCCCTGGTCACACTCCTTTGGACTCATGCCAGTGACCTGCAGGATGTGTGGAACCCAGATTGCCACAGTGGTGTGGATCCTTGCTGACCTGTTCTGCTCATCTTGATTCTGGGGATGGGGAGGGATTGGAGCCGCCGTCTGCAGGGTGCCGACTGGCCGATCAGGCCCAGACTTACAAATTATGTGCTATAATTTCATGGTACCCCAGAGAACGCTAATAATAAAAAAAACTTCTTTTCTCCCTTCACCTATTATTATATTTGAAATTCTCCTCTTAGAGAACCCTTTGGATCTAGAACTTTTCTGAGCAAAATAATCTTAAAGTCAAGTCTAGATCAGCTGATGCCTTTCCTGAGATTATTTTATTACCTTTGGTGCCTCCCAATTTCCCCAAATCAAATCTTTAGCAGGACCTTCAAGGTCTACCCCATCCGCTTTCAAGTTGCCATGGTCTCTGTCTGCCTGGAATCTCTTTACCCCATTCTCTCCCTGTCAAGTGATTCCTTGTGTTTCTAGGCCATTCGTCCATCTGTCTACCAAATGCTGGGCACTGTGCGAGATGCTGTGTGTCCCGGCCAAATCCCAGCTCTCCTGTGAAATCTTCTCTGACCCTCTGCACACCTTTGCTCCTTCTGCTTGTGCCTCTTGTAGTTTGGTTAGTTGTGTCTAGTTGGTTTCACGGTAAGTTGTAAAGTATGGGGATGAAGACCATGATGGTCCTTTTAATCCCATCTGCCGTTTCAGGATAGGATGTGGTATATCGTGGGCACCAGTGTTTGTTTAATGAACCAATGGCTGGTAAGTGACAGTTTCCTTAGGCTACTGCGGACTAGGTGGAGAGTAGGGGCAGAGATTCATAAAGACCATGTTCCATGTTCTCTGCTCTGCGTGGAGCTGGCCCTGGCTGTCGGTGCCTTTCTGTAGAGCTGGTATCTTGTGCCCGGCATCCAGCCAAAGGTGAACCACTCCTCAGTGATAGCCTGGCCTGGGCTGGCCTCATTAACTGACTCTGGGGGGCCTGGGTCGCGCAGGAGGTGAGCATAGAAACCTCTGTGGATTCCCTTCCTACTGAGGAGGAACATCTCCAACGGGACAGGGGGAAGATTGAGTGAAGATTTAGGGCTGGTGTCAGGAGCAGACCACAGGCTGGGAAGAGCGGGGTTAGGATGCAGGGGCCGCAGGCAGAGGGGACGGGATTGGCATGACACAGCCGTGTGGGCCCTTGCTTCTTGCCAAGACTGTTGGCCCCCTGCTTCCTACAGCATGAGGTGCACCCCCAAATTAAAACTAAATAAATCACTAAAACTAAATATAAAACTAAATAAATAATAGTGTGAAGTGCATCATTGCTAGCATGTGGCAGCTCAGTGGGGGGCGGAGGCAAGGGAGGGAAGGCAGCAGATTAACCCTTGGAGGCCGACTCGTCTCTGGAGAGCTGGAGGGGGAGGCAAGAGCAGGGCAGTGGCTTCCTCCGAGCCAGGGTGGAGCGAGATGGGAAGCTGGGGGTGTCAGCAGTCATGGTGTGCCCGCCCAGCTGGCATGTCTGAGGTTAGAGGATGCTGCCTGCATCTTCAGGGTCTCTTCTCTAAGCCCCCCGGCCAAGTCCTCCTGAGCGTGGTGGCCTGTGGCTTGTGACCCACAGCTTGACTCGAGTCCTCTGAGAAAAGGAGGCTAATGTCAAGGTCATGGCTCAGAGGGGGCGTCCCTTACAGCTGGGAAGCTCAGAGACCTCTGGTTTCTTACCCGGCACTACAGGTGTACAGTCAAAGTCTTCCCTCACCCCTTTTGTCCCCGGTGACACACTTTCTCAGCCTGTGGGTGGAGGGAGGGGAAAGGAGACAGGTGGGAAGCAGGGTAGGTGGGTGTGGGGCTGTGAGGGCAGGGAAAGTCACTCACTCTGCACTTCCCTCCTCCTCCAGTGAAGTGTCCTATGACACTTCTCGGGGAGCAGCCCTCCCCCCAGGAAGATGTTTGAGCCAGCCCCACTGATCCTGGGCTCCTCGTCTGCCCTGGGACCCTCCATTCCGTCCCTGGTTCCAGGAGTGTGGTGAAAGGAAGCCGAGTCTGCCATGCATCACCATCTTCTTTCTAGGTGTGAGTCCTTGTGTGGGCTCTGAGGTTACCTGGAGCTCAAAGACTGCATAGCTGCCCCTAGATCTCAGACTGAAGAGTGAGGAGAGGTGGCCAGAGGAGCTCGAGGCCGGTGTGTCCCAGCTTGCACTGAGTGGTTCCCTCTATGCTCTTAGGGGCCCCTCCCCATCAGCAGAGGCCTTGGGGGGGTCACTAATATCCTCAGATTGATCCCTGTCCCAGGCAGGTAGGGCTGGCCCTGAGGGGTGTCCCCAGCATGGGGGGTGAGGGTTAGGTGGCGGCTCTTCTGGATCCCGTGATTTGCACTTGGTTCTGGATCAGTCCAAATCCCTGGACAGCAGCCAGTGCTGTCAGTGCAGAGGTGAGGGAAAGTGAAGGGGTACCATCCTGGCATAGGGCTTGGCCTGGGTAGGGAGCCTGGGGGACCTGGTAGCTAAGGGAGTGGCATGTGAGGGATGGGACAAGACGCTGACGTCTCCTGATCTTCTGGCCAGTGCTTTGTCTCTTATTAGCAGAGCTTCTGTTTGGCAGAAATCCTCTGTAAATCACTTTTCTATGTGTCCGTGTATCTGTGCCTTGGAAGTTTCTACTATTATTACCACAAAGAAACTTACTTTTTTCTTTTTCTTTTGAATGTTAGGCTTAAGTCCTGAAGGACAGGTCCTGGGAATCAGTCAGAAGTCAGAACTCTAGGATGTGGGGTCATTTCTGCTGCTTCCAAAGTGACTTGGATCTGGAGTGGGTTGGAGATGGTCTCAACCTTGGTCTCCTGACTGCCCTTAGGGCTGTGGGCCCAGGTGCAGTGCTGATCTCGACCAGCAGATGGCGCCTGAGCTCGAGAGTCAGGGAGGGGTGTTGAAGACACGGTCCTTCCTTACAGAGGGGAGCCCCAGCAGCTGGCTGAGATTCAGATGATTTGTACTCCTGGGCATGGTCCATGCCGTGGAAGGAGCCTGGGCTGACACCTCTGACCCTGAATGGGGCAGACACAAGCCTAAGGTACGAGACTGTTGACCATCCTGGTCCCAAGGAGCTCTCGGCTGTGTGTTGGAGGACCTGGCAGGGTTCTTCACACTGACCACCAGCCTATCCTTACGGCTTCCTCGTTTGGAGTAGGAGTCCTCTACGGGCCCCTGCAGGCTCTAAGAGCATGCAGTTCTATGGTTCAACACGTTTTCCTTCATTTTTCCATTTCTTCTTTCTCTTTGTTGTCTAAGCAGCTTGAATTTAGTGAGAGAGGCACAGAGCTGGAAGCTGTGGCTGCAGCCAAAATGGGTAAGACCTCATTCTGGCCCCTGTAGTCTGGGGTCATCAAGAGGTACACACATCACTGTAATACCTGGCCATGTAAGTGCCTGCGAGAGAGAGAGAGAGAGAGA